GGTCAGGCCGGACCCGGAGCCCTAGGAGGGCGGGGCGCCGGGGCCCCCAGCAGCGGGGCCTGCCAGCAGGAAGCGGCCGCAGGAGTCGGTTCCTTTCTTCCCTCCGGGGGGACCGTGCACAGAGGGGCCATTGAGGGCTGGCATTGTCTGCCTGGCGCACCCAGCGCCTCCCCCTGGGTGGGCCACGCAGGGTCTGGCCAAGATCCCCTTGTCCCGCTTGGCAGTGGTCCTGGGTGGGGTCCTGGCAAGCAGGGCCTCCCTGGGTGCAGCCCAGCACCCCCACCTGCCCGTGGCCTTCCTGCCCCTGCTCCCACTCCTGGGGCACAAGGCTCCATTGTCCCAGCGCTGGCGGGGCGGCCCCTCAACGCCTCCCTGTCGCTGGCAGTTGGGAAATTCCCAGCCATGGAGGTGGCAGGCTGGGGCATCCCAGGTGCCCTGTCCCCCAATAGGAGGGACTCCATGAGGTTGCCTCCTGGGGATCCCCCACTGCCTGTGGCTGTCCCATTCTGGGAGCCGCTGGGTGCGGGGAGGCAGAGATTCCGGCCCCGGAGCTGTCCCAGCCTGAGGAGGCCCATCCTCCCGGCCCCCCCGGACCCCTCTCCAGCAGGTGCTTGAGGCCCAGAGACCAGCCGCCGGACGGGAGGGCCTCAGGGAGGGGGCCTCTGAGGCTGTAGGCGCTGAGAGGCCTGGAGGAGGCCCTGACCACGTCCTGGGCAGCCCCATGGTGGTGGCTCATCCTGAAGCCAGGACAACCTCCGAGTCAACCCCTCTCCCCCACCCAGGGTGCCAAGCCAGCCACCTAGGCTGGAGGCGTCACGCCAGCCCAGCGACGTGACTGCAGCCGCCCAGCCTGTGGCTCGGCCACCAGGCCCAAGCTGCCCTCAGTCAGGGAGAGGGTGGGGCAGGGCTGCAGTGTCTGCCGCCTGAGTTCCGGGTCCAGTTCCCTCCCAGGCCCCCAGTCCTGTCTCTTGCCCCAAACGACATCCCGGGGCCTCATCCCTGCCAGGAGGCTCTGCCTCCACCCCGCCCCTTGGGAATGCCAGCTCCCACACCCCAGGTGGGCCTCAGGCCAGTTGGGTACGTGTGTCCATGCCTGCCAGCCACTCGGCTCCTCAGTCCATCCCACGGTGATGGGGGCAGGGGGCAGGCGCAGGGGGCAGGGGGCAGCGGCAGGGCCCGGATCCCTTTCTCTCCCCCTCCCGGGTTTGCCCCTTGCAGACGCTGCAGCCCACAGGTGATCTGGGACGGGAAGCTGCAGACTGCTTCCTGACCTTGTGGGTGAGGGGCTGGAGCAGGGCCCTTCTCCATTAGCCCCCTCCCTCCGTGGGCTCAACCGGCCCTGGGGGTGGAGGGCTCCCTGCAGGCACTCCCTCCGCTCCTGCCTCCCGGGCTCTGCTGCGGGGCCCAGTGACAG